CGGCGGAGACTTCAACACATCACCTCCTTCGACTACCGTGGTTTTTTGTCTCGAACGGCTACTGTACAAATAGCTTTTCTGCAGTTGCTTTCACTTGTGAAAAAAAAAGCAACAGCAACAGCAACTCACCACCCTTCCCAGGATGCGCAGCAGAGAGACGACGGCGCTAACCCCCGGCAGCCACGCATCCGCGTCAGACGGCTTGCTGCCCACCGTAACCGTGAACAGATGCGTCTGCGGCTGCATGGCCTGGTGGTGCCCCGGCTCCGCAGCAGGGGTCATGTTCTCCTTGCCGGTGGGCAAAACGGGGGGTATGGACGCTGGGGCAGCCTCGGCCCCCGACCCGTCCGTGTGTAACAGAGCAGAAGCGGGGGAGGCGGAGGTGCCGACGGAGCGTTGTCCTTTGGACGTGGCCACTCCTTCGTACGACTGCAAGAACAACAAACGGGTTGTCAAGTACAAACCAAGAAAGAAGGGGGGTACATGTATGAAAAACTAGTTGGCTTGTTCAGCAAGGCTTGGAACTCAAATAATGAAAATCGCACCGACATTGCAGTTTCGCGATGAATGGCAAAAAACACGTATCTTAACTCCTCCTGGCGGCTCTTTGCGGGTAAGACGTGCGTCACTCGTAAACACACCAGGAGATTGTGGACGTTTTGACCTTACTATCCCAAAAAACGTGTTTCCCTCTGGTCATCAGTTGGTGGTACAGGTGCCACCCTGCTTGAAAAACTAAGGACCATCCAATCACACACACGCGTGGACATCACAAACGGGCCCGACATTTCCAACCAGAGTCGTATTGCTCAGGGCCAAAGTGACCCTCTCTGGCTGTACTTCAGTGCTCGAGGGTACATGCGTGCCGCGGGGGGGGAGCACGCATCCTCAAAATCATAAAAAAAATAACTCATGTTGCTGGATCAACGTGTGGACTAGGCATGTCCAGGGGGGTCAAATCCTTCCCACCTTGACGGCAACGAACATTTCCTCGTCGCTGACATCGTCTCCCACGCAGAGGCAGAACCTCCCTCCGGCAGACGAGGCAGTCGTCGCGGGTGCGTCTGTGTCCGTGGCGTCAGCCGGAGCGGGGAAGCTCGAAACCTCGGACGGCCACCCCAGGCGGTCCAGCACCATGTGCACGAAGTTTCCTTTGTTCGCTCCCCTCGCACGCACCTACAGCAGCATCATCGCATCACGTTGGGCTGAGCCAGGTTAAGTGTCGAATCGTGATCATCAGTGACTGACAGCGGTGAGGAAGACAAGAAAAAAGCTGTGTGACTGATGTCAAGCTCACTTTCGCTAATGCCAAATATGAGCTGGAATAAACAAGTGTTTCCCAAACCCAACGTTAAAAAAAGTCTTGCAAGTGCAAACAACAGGTGTTGTTCTTTACTTCGTTTTGGCATGGACCACCGACGATTGAAACTGAAAAACATGGCTTTGGCTTTGGTACAGGGACGACGAAAACAACCAAGACTTCGCAAGACTCGAAAAAAAGGCAAAAAGGGCACATCTCTGCCCAAGCTGCCAAAAATTATAAAGTGAGCGGGGTCCGTAGACACTTGCTGCGACAAAACACAAACTCGTGCCACCCAAACATATGATCGACTTCGAAAGTCGCGAGGGAAGGGATTGCTGTCCCCTTCTCGCGACAAAAATATCTCAGGCAGGAACCGCAGGAGGGGGACCAACCTCCCCCTCCTATGTGACCCCGGTTGGGTCGTCTACCTGGTAGAAGTGGAGGATAGGGGCCACAGGGGCAGGCGACAGAGTCCAATGACGGGAGACCAAAAAAGAAAAGAAAAAAAATCCCGCATCCTGCCACCGGCACATTTGTACATTTGTTCAGCTGATTCGGTTCTTATTCCTCGCCAATCTTTTGACTGGATGCGGCAATGAAATAAAAAACACACGAGTCATTAACGAATCCAGAAGGGGGTGTAGCTCAAATGGTAGAGCGGTTCATTAGCATTGAACAGGTAGGGAGATCGATGCTCTCCACCTCCACTTTTCATTTCCATTTGTTTTTTTCCTTTATTATCCCTTGCTGCAAGAGCCACTTCGAAAAACATCGACCGCCAATTTGAGTACCAGCTTATCTTTTACTGCTGATATGATCTCAGCCACCTTTCGTTCGCTTGGCGATCTTTTCTACTGCAAAACGATACACAAACGGGTTGTGGATATCCCGTAAGAGGGGAGGAAATGCTGAAACCCTTCTGGTGATACAGTCGTCCCCGCTTTAAGGACGCATAGCGTTTTTTTTTCAAAGCGTCTTTAACGCGGGGAATCGTCTTTAAGATTCCGGGGACGATAACGCACCACCCCCGGGGCCGATGGAGGCATAACATACATCAAAAGACGCGCCGTTGCAACACGTAACTTATAACGAAACGAGGATCCATAAATCTGACCGCTCACAACGTAGCCGTGGTTGAAAGTGGAATGCACTATATATATATTTATATATTATAAACCATGTTTTAAGTTACCGCGCCACCGCCCGCAATAATATGCTCCCGACATGTGGGTTGTTGCGGGATATAGTTTTGTTATGACTGCAGTGCACTCTCTCGGTTGTGTGGCGACTGCTGCCTGCTGTGTTGTTTTTATTTTCTTCTCGTTTTCCTGATGTTGAAAACCTCACCGACACATCCTTCACCACAGCGGTTCCAACTTTGACACGATACTTCAGTATATCCTAAGCGATAGAGACACAAACACCCTACACACGAAACTCAGATGGACATCAACGCTAAATTATCGGTGAAGATGAAGCAATAAAAAAAAAGAGCCCATCGCTGTATGCCCTCCGAAAAAAAAAACTATCGCCCCCACATATCGCCAAGAGTGGCCTGCACCTCACCCCCCTGCTTCGCTCTTCGGTTGACTTGAGTTTCGTGAGTGAACGAATGCACAGTCCTCGAAAGAAGGTACAGCGTTTCGCTGTACTCGCCGTCCTTCCCTTTCGCATTCAAAAAGGAGCGGCACTCCTCGAGGCGAAAGCGGACGTCGGCCTCTGTAAGCGACGTTGTCACGCACGACTCTGACCTACCGTCGTCGTCTTCCTCTTCGCTGGGTACATCGTCATCGAGGGTTACGCCGGCCAGTTGCTCGTCTACAGCCTGCAGTTCCATTGCTATTTCTTCCTCCAACACCTCTGGGTCGTCCTCTACACTAAGCCACGTCTTTACTGCCTGACGCACTTCAGCGTCCGTGAGGCCTGAGGCTTTCTCGACGAACAAGTTGTCCGTCAACACTCGCGCCGTGGATCTAGAGTCGGTGGCGCTGGCTGGCATAGACATCTTGGAGACCATTTCGCAGAGGTCGTCGATGATGGCTCACCACACGTTGTCGTGTGGGCGGCAGACGGACCGTCAGCAGACGAAAGGAATCTATCCATATCCACGCAGTAGCGGTTGCAGCAGCAGCATCAGCAGTGGCAGACCGCTCTCTGTGCAGTTCTACAGGTGTGCTGCACGATTTTCTGGGGGGCCCCGCAGTATATAAATTACACCCCCCCCTCATATTGTACATCTGCGGGGCACCATGGTTCGGAATTTTTTTTCGTCTTTATCGCGGGGAGTTGACTTAAGATGAGCGTCTTTAAAGCGGGGACGACTGTACTGTAAAAGAGCGAAGGCAAAGGTATCAGGAGGAGAGGCGGAGACTGTGTGGGACCCCCCGGGTCGTGCTTTCAACACACACCGAAGAGTCCAGCGAACCACACCGAAAAAAAAACTCCGATGGCTTCGTTGATTTCTACTTGTATATACAATGCAAGACCCAAAAATGCCCAACTTTGCACACTCCCGCCTTGTGGGGAACGGTAGTTAGCTTGCGCCCACGGAAGGCGTCCGCGTCAGTTGGGACCAGAACGGACAGGAGAAGGTACAAAGCGGAGACCAGAACGTTTTTTACGGTCAAAATCACAATAACAACCGTCTTGAAATCGGATGATACTTCTACACTACGAACGCATACCTCTAGGTAAGCGCCGCCGCTGCCAGTGTCCGAGTTTAGTCCCTCCTCGTGGGTGATCTCGATAGCACCAAACCCCTCCGAGGCAACCGAAGCCAAAGAATTAGACCGCGTCGATCCCGTCACGGCCGTGGTGCTGACGTTCACGTTCAAGCCCGTCATCATCTTGCTCATGTTGGAAGTCTTGCTGCTGCCGCTGTTCTTGCAGATGTTCATGTTGTCGATTCCCCCGCCGCCGCCGCCGCCGCCGCCCGTAACTCCGGTTGTTGTCCCAGCGGGGGTGGTTCCCGCGAAGAGGACGCCTTCCACGGGGGTGCTCGTCGCGCCAGAGAAACGGAGGACGTCCGTCAGCTCATCTTGCAGCTGCTTGGCCTGTTGATTGAATCGACACACGCGGGAATAACAACGGGGTTGGAACAGGACATACACAGCCGGCCGCCCCGGTGGTCTAGTTGATCCTCGAAACCTTCTGGAGATCAGCTCAGGGGTTCGAATCCCGGCGAAAGCGAGCTTTTCTTGCAAAGTGAGGTTTTCTCTCGCTTACGCTCCTGGCCTAAATAGTGGATAGCGCTAGCTCGAGTGTACACAGAGAGAAGAGAGTGCTCCACTCTTATTGCATCAGAAATCTAAGGCAAAGCACCGGAGGCGGGGAGGGTAGAGAAGGGATCTTCTGTGTGTCCCACGGGTTGCGGAGTAAACGGCAGCTGTGGGCGCCGATTTGAAGTCAATACAAAAACAAAAAGTATTTGGTAGGAGTGTCAAGGCTTTTAGCCAGGGATGGTTCATCGCCAACCCGCACCAAAAAATTTGGTATGGTTTGGCGTACAAGTGTGTAGTGGGGAAAAAAACAGAGCTTTTTCACTTCAAATCAGCCCACACAGCACTGGTGCCGTTTACTCCAACCCGTGGTCACACAAAAGAGCCCCTCTCTCCCCTCCCTTCCTGCGGTACTTTGCCATCGATCTTTAATGCGAGAAGAGTTCAGCACTCTCTTCCCTCTGTGTACACACGAACTAGCGCTATCCACCAGGCCAGGAGCGGAAGCAAGTGAACGACTCACTTTGGAAGAAAAGCTCGCTTACGCCGGGATTCGAAGNACACAGCACTGGTGCCGTTTACTCCAACCCGTGGTCACACAAAAGAGCCCCTCTCTCCCCTCCCTTCCTGCGGTACTTTGCCATCGATCTTTAATGCGAGAAGAGTTCAGCACTCTCTTCCCTCTGTGTACACACGAACTAGCGCTATCCACCAGGCCAGGAGCGGAAGCAAGTGAACGACTCACTTTGGAAGAAAAGCTCGCTTACGCCGGGATTCGAAGCCCTGACCTGACCTCTAGAAGGTTTCGGGGATACCAACTAGACCACCGGGGCGACCGGTAGAGCTTTGCCGGGGATGGTTCATCACCACCCCCTGCCCCAACAACAAAAAAAAAAAAACGAGACGCTTGTCTGCGGAATGCGCCTGCTCGTTGTATGATCATGCTTCTAGCCTTCGACAGATTGATTGGTCCATGCTGCAGCGACACGAACAATATTTCACGTCCTCACTTGACGGCTCCAAACCTTTCCGGCAATAAGCAACACTCGACTTGTTACGCTTGGCAAGGCCAGCTACTGCTGCCTGACACAGACAGCTAACACCTGTTTGGGCAACAGCAATGCCGGCCTACTTCTCTTCGTGTCAATCATTTCAAGGACTCACCAGCTTCGGAAGGAGCGTGCCTGCCCTACACCACTTAACACCTTCACACGTACCGCGAGGGGTTTGTTACAGTACAGCGAGACCAGGCCGCAACGCACGACTGTTGTACTGTGCTGTTGAGCAACTCAACACCATTCGCCATCCAACCGAATCATGAGTAGCTGCGTATCTTACAAACCAGGGGTGCGCATGTGCTTGGATATTATCAAGTCCAGGCATCAGTGAACAGGGTACAGGACCTGCTGCTTTTCTCCTTCCGAACTAACCTCTCTTGATCAATCAATACAAGCCCAAACCAAGTCCAAAAAATCGGTGAAGAGGTCAACAGGGTACAGGACCTGCTGTTTTTATCCTTCCGAAAATGCCTGTCGACGGCAGACTCTAAGCAACGAGCACCTCAACTTCTCTCAAATATTACAACAGCCATGTCGCCAGCGGAGAGCTCCCTGGTCAACCAGCATGTGTGAACGTCAATCAAAACTGGCGAGAAAAAAGACCCAATTCACAAGGCAACATGCTGCTGAGTCAGAACAAGCATTGCCTCAAAACGAGCGTAACAACAATTTTGTTGACTTTTGTGCTGGCCAATCAGCGCGGTAGCTGTCGCTAGGTCTTGTCAACATTGTCGTCCATTCAGACTGCTGTAGACCAAAACACCTGCACGAGAAGAAAAAAAAAAAACGCTCTTGCCTGCATGGCTCCGAATTCAGGTTCTGCGTCCCCGTAATGCCACAGCATCGCGGTGCCCTTCTCCTCGATGTACGACCCGTGGGTGTGGACCTGATTGCCCGACACGATTACAAACGTGACAATCTGATTGGTCGAATTATAGGACCTCCGAACCGGCGATGTGGCTTCGCCCTCCGTGAACATGTCTTCGGTTTGAACGGGGAATTGAACCAGCGAAGGGGGGAAAGTGCTACCGAAGGATGAATGATGTGGCGTCGCCTTCCGTGAAGATGGATGGCTTCGGGTTGGATGGATTGAGCCGGCGAAGGGGTGTACAAGTACCACCAAAGGACCAATCTTGTGTCAAGGAAATCGTGTCTTTTCGATTGGTTCAAGAAACCCTTATTTTATTGGACAAATGCAAGTCAATCAAGTGCCATGAAGTGAATATGTTGCTTGTCGATTTGGAATTTTGGAAACTTTGGAAGCAAAATCGGTGTGCATAAAATGGCCCAAATACCCTAGCTCTAACCCTAACCTGGAAGTTTTGCATGAAGCGCCTCGCCACCGACTTCCACGCCGTGTCCATCAGGCCCGGATGCAGAGCCTCCCATCCGTCCCCACCGACGCCCACACCACCGGACTCCCTGTCATATGCGATATGATATCATGGGTCGCACGGAACAATCAACCAGCCACGACATGAAAGCTCTCGTGTATTGTAGACTTCGACAAGAAAGCGATCAAACCCTTGCGCCACATTTTCCCACCGTGTGATTCTTGTTGAACACGCTCGTTATTTATTGCCCAATGGCTTTCGATCGAAACGATTTTGCTTCGTGGTGGACTTGGTCAGTGCTACATATTATGACAAATGACGAGGTGGTGCAAGCAGATATGGTACACATCCCGAAAACATGCGGTAATCTTGACTTGAGAAAAGCGTACCTGTCGTTCGAAGGCCAGCGGTAGAATGACCCGTGCTCCGCGGCCAGTCCAAGTCCCTGTCATGGCATGGCATGGCATGGCATCACGTCGGGTAGTGGCGTCAAGCAAGTCGAGTCAAGCGAGTCGAATCGAGCCACACAATGATGGAAGGTCACGTTCACGCCAAGGGAGAGGGATTATCAATCGCGCGAGTGACGGAAAGCAGGGGAGTGGCGCTGAGCTCGAACGCTTTGGTACTGCGATGGTTCACCACGCTATTCACCGACAAGTCTTCCTAAGGCAAGGCATATTTCCCGTCTTTCGCCGACAGAAACACATGAAAGCAGAGGCGTGCCTTTCGCTAACAGATGACGAAAGTTACAACATCCGTTCGCCTAAAAGAATACACCAGCAACCCTTGCGAAGCTCGCACAGGTGTGCGCCTCGAGTCTCAGCGAAAACCGACTGAACGGCGAGCGAGGGGCTTTCACGTAGCATCTTACCTTGATGTGGCCGAAAGCCGCCTGCAGCTCATCCTTCCCGCGCCCGCTGATGACGAACACGATGTTGCACGGATCCCGGCACAGCTCAGCAAGCCCCTCCTGGAGCGCCCTGCCGGGACGCAACCCGGCAGCCTGTCGGATCATCGCGGTATGTACGGCACACGGTAAAACCGCACACCAAAAACACGGGACGAAAAAAAAAGTCGGTATACTGTCTTGGTTCTCGCGGTAAACAATCGAGAGGGTAAGCGCTGTCGGAGGGGTGGGTCGGGGAGCAACCCTTCTGTGAGACCACGGAGCCTCCATCTGGCAGAAACACTCGTGAGTGCTGATTAGAAGTGATGGCATCACGGTTTGATTCCACCCGTTCACCACGGGAATTCTGAAAGGCTAACAATAAAAGCACGGAGCAACTGGTGGAATACAGGTGACCAATCAACATAATAGATGTATGGCACGACAACGCCCTCTAGGGTAGCGGGGGTGTGCTGCACTGACTAACCTTAGACTTTCTCCTGCCAAAGTCTGCCTTTGCATCCATCGCCTTCGGTTGTGCGATTGGAGAGTCTTTGACGAGGGTTCCTCCGTAGTCTAGCAAGAACACCCGCTGCTTGCTTGCACTGCATGAGAAAACGGGGGGACACGAAAGAATCACACGATACGCACGAAGTACGCTTGAGAACATGAAGGAGAGAAAAAGAGGGAAAGCACGATAGGAATCATACATTCGCAAACGAACGTGCAGCGAGCAGAATGTTAACGGTGGGCGCAAGAACAGCAGCACCAGCAACTACACTTGAACACGATCGATCAAATGTTAGATTTGTGTTCGAGGCACCTCTGAAGCCAGGNAAAAAAAAAAAACGAGACGCTTGTCTGCGGAATGCGCCTGCTCGTTGTATGATCATGCTTCTAGCCTTCGACAGATTGATTGGTCCATGCTGCAGCGACACGAACAATATTTCACGTCCTCACTTGACGGCTCCAAACCTTTCCGGCAATAAGCAACACTCGACTTGTTACGCTTGGCAAGGCCAGCTACTGCTGCCTGACACAGACAGCTAACACCTGTTTGGGCAACAGCAATGCCGGCCTACTTCTCTTCGTGTCAATCATTTCAAGGACTCACCAGCTTCGGAAGGAGCGTGCCTGCCCTACACCACTTAACACCTTCACACGTACCGCGAGGGGTTTGTTACAGTACAGCGAGACCAGGCCGCAACGCACGACTGTTGTACTGTGCTGTTGAGCAAATCAACACCATTCGCCATCCGACCGAATCATGAGTAGCTGCGTATCTTAAAAACCAGGGGTGCGCATGTGCTTGAACTCCAGGCAAACCTACCACCAAAACAGGACCGATGTTTACAATGACAAGGGAAGAAATGGAATATCTTGCAAAAAAAAAACTACAATCCTTTCCGTACAGGTGAACCGAAGGGTTGGTTATCCTGATCAACCATCACATGTTTCGCCACAAATCAGCACCTAGACCCCAAACCGTTCATTTTCACGAGTGTACGGAAAATGATGACTTTTCTCCTGTGCTTCCACGCCACACCCAACAGCAGCATTTCTACGGCCGTCCTTCTCTGTGCGCTTTATGCTGCTGTGCGGTGTTGCAGAGATGGCGAGCGAGGGCAAGCAGTCCTCATCGGAATGTGCCCGACCTAGGCTTCGGAGAATCCACATGCCGGCGAAGGCACGCTGCTTCTTTAGGCCATCCAGACGTCAATGCCGAACCACGAAAACATGGGCTTACTTTTGCAGCTCGGCGTGATGGCTACCGTAGGTGACATGACCCAAGATAACACACCCCCTGGACCGAGTTTTCAAAGCTCGATTTCTCCACGACGAAGAGGATGCCGATATCAAAGGATACGCTGTCATAAAGCTCTTGACGAGACGGTTCCAACGCTGCAACTTTCGGCACCGCCGCCGCTCTTCTTGCCGAGTAATCGAGCGCTGAAAATCGGTCCACGGGGTGTCGCATCTTATGCAACAGACGGTTGTGAGTTTCTCGTGGTTATTGTTGCTTGCTTACCGTGGTAAGGACGCCGAGTACGTCTTCCGCCCACTGGGCCGTGGTGTTGGTCTCGCACCACTCGATGTCCTCCTGAAACGAGGTGCAACAAAACCAAAACGAACGGACCGGAACGACTGAAGACACGTCAGGAAACGAAACAAAACCAAACGAGATAAGACCACAAAACAAACCGAACCCGGCAAGCATTCCTCGAATAAAAATTGACGATTCCAATACAGCCTTGCGGTGTGGCAGAGACAAAGAACGTAGCTAACACAAGACTCGTGTCTTTTGAAAGGTACCAGATGTAGAAAGATCCAAGCACCAGGTTGTCCTCTAGAACGACACACCAGCACAGACACAAGACCGCTCCATCTATTTCATTGAATAGCAGGACGCAGCCTGTAGCCCATTTCTGCGCCAAAGCCCAAACCATGGCTGAGTTAAGACAAGAGTATTGAACAGAGTATCACTCAGCCACCAGCATCCTTTCATGCAACGTCCATCAACCGCCACCCGGGTACTGCAAGCCTATGCAACAACAAACCTCGTGCAAAGCAATCCTTTCGCCTGCCTCCGCCATGACCGCGTCTGCCATCGCGTCGGCCACGGCTTCCACCTGCCAGGGGTTGACAGTAAGGCTTCCCCGCATCGCCGGCGAGCACGACACTGCCTCCGAGAGAATCAAAACCCCAGGCGATCCTCCGCTCAACTGCCGTGAGGTTCGGTTGGGTTCAGGGGCAAGGGTACATAGGTCGGGGAGAGGGATCAACTCCGCAACAAGACACTTACTGCCGATTGGAGGGTCGGTTAGGTTCAGGAGGAAGGGCAGATGGGTCGGGGAGAGGAATCACTGAGCAAAAAGACACGTGCTGCCGACTGGAGGGTCGTTTAGGTAGGGAGAGGAATCACTTTCGTTTCGATCTGAGCAAAGAGACACTCAACCGCAACATTCGCCTCGACTGTGGTGATAATGTGGAAGCGTACTGTACCGAACGGCCCCCGAGATGAGAAACGTCAATATCGGGTCGAGGCTCGGTTTCTGTATTTCACCGTCACTGCCGAGCACAGGTTGTCGTACAGACTAGGATCTATCGCTGAGCTCTCTTGTTTGAGACATTTTCGATTTGCTTGTACTTTTCATGAAAGTTTTGAGCCTCAGGTTCTTCACGAAATATTTCAAAACTGAAACTGCAGTCCCCTTCAGTGGTCTTCCTGTGGTTGTACAATTTACTAAAGTATTTCCTAAAAATGCAGCGCGCACATGGTTCCGACGGGACATCTTACAGCATATGCAGAAAAGCAAAGCTCATTGCTCACCTGCTTGTCTCTGGCCTCTGCCCGTAGGTGCTCCTGCACCACTCGAAACTCGATGGGCATCGTGTTCAGGCCGTCGTGCACCGGAGTCTTGACGAACACCGACGAAACGCTCATCAGGGCCGTCCTGATAAGATCGATCGTTTCATATCGTTGTCAACACACACAACGGCTCGTCATATCGTCATCAACAAACACAACGGCCCGTGCAATCGTTGTCAACAAACACAAAGAATCATGATATCGTTATAGACACGCCACGGATCATGATATCGTTATCAACACACACAACGGATCATGATATCATTGTCAACAAACACAACGGCCCGTGCAATCGTTGTCAATAAACACAAAGAATCATGATATCGTTATAGACACGCCACGGATCATGATATCGTTATCAACACACACAACGGATCATGATATCATTGTCAACAAACACAACGGCCCGTGCAATCGTTGTCAATAAACACAAAGAATCATGATATCGTTATAGACACGCCACGGATCATGATATCGTTATCAACACACACAACGGATCATGATATCATTGTCAACAAACACAACGGCCCGTGCAATCGTTGTCAATAAACACAAAGAATCATGATATCGTTATAGACACGCCACGGATCATGATATCGTTATCAACACACACAACGGATCGTGTTGTTGTCAACAAACATGCAACGGATCATCATACCGTTGTCAAAGCACATCACGGACGACAAACGGAAGGCTTCGAGAGGCAAAGCCACGCCGTTTGCCAAGGATCGAGGAACAAACAAGGCCACAGAACCTGCACCAAGAAGCCCCTGTGAGATTGCCTACACGTCACACGTCACACGTCACACGTGACAGCACGATGAGACCACACACAACAATCAGACTACGGACTCGCCAAGGAGCGATTTTTCCTCCCGACCATCATGACCCCCATGTGTGTCAGAGCACATCTGCTCATGTGCCGACTAGCATACCATTATACTACACCAATAGCAACACGGCATCGCGGTCCTTCCCGTTGTGTCACGGACACAACGCTGGCGAGCTAGTGCGGCGATTTGGTGATGCTGGTATTGCACGGTAGGGTACCGTACAAAGATACCACCCCCCCTGCATACAGACCAGCTGTTCCATGACCAAGAGGAGGTCCAAGTCAAATGGTACAACGGACGGATCTCGACGAAACAGTTACAACACGCCACAATTTTTCGGCACCGCCACTCTCCATGCTCTCATATATTAGGGTGTGTGGTATCTTGTGTCACCTACGGAATGGTATGGTGTGGTGTGGTATAATATGGCACGGTACGCTTACCTCCGGGCAAGGGTGGCATCCTTCGGGTCGCGTTCCTCGTAGACCACCGTGCCTGCACCATGCTTGGCGTTCATTCGGTCCGCAAGCTCGGACAGCTGTTCAACAACCAGACAGTGAGACAGACAGACAGAGATATATATATAGAGAGAGATATATATATATATATAGAGAGAGAGAGAGAGAGAGAGGACGGGCGGACACGTATCAAACCACGTCATTCCCAGCACGACAGGATGCCCCCCAGACACACAGCTTGACACAACTATCCAGCCCCCTTGCAACACACACGTAGCACGCTGGACTTGTCGACATTATCCGAGACTGGATGCTTGTGCACAAAGTCTAAATCAACACTTATTCGCATACATTTTCCAGATATTTGATGTTGTGAAAGCCTACATGAACGATCGGCGCGCACCAGACGTCCATCTTTCGCCAATGGAACTCCCTTGCGTTCTGCATATCTAGCTGCTTGGCAACAAATCCGAGAAAAAAAGTGCCATGAGAGGCAGCGAGTTAACACTCTTAAGCCCGAACAACAATAGGTCAACCTGGAACTCAGTGGCATGTCATGAAAATGCGTCTCAGCATCTGGAAAACAAAAAAATATGCCCCCTCCCACAAAAACACAGCCAACCATACTTACTTGTGCATGAAAACGTCGCTGCTATGGGTAATGTTGACATGTTCCTAACTCTATGACCACCGACGGGGTTCTCACCTTTTGTGGAACTGTGCAAAGGCTGTTGGGCGTTTTTGCTGCTGGAACACGGGTAATTTACTGAACACGAAATAATAACAACAATGAATTTCTGAACACGAAATAATAACAACAATGAAATTCTCAACACGAATAACAACAATGAAATTCTCAACACGAATAACAACAACGAACATGATGCCAAGCCAACTCTGCGAAGGCGGATACTGTTTTACCAGGACAGCAGTTGGCTGGTATTTTGCCTTTGGCAACACTACTACCAGCACTGAGGAGGTTCTCACCCACTCCTGGCATGCCCGGTAGTCGCTCCCCCTAGCCGGATTGGCGATGCCCACCTCGTGCATGCTCACCCTGTCAGAGCGAACCGAAACGTCCATCATCCATCCAACACAACACGGGAGCACGAAGAAGAGCTCATCAGAGAAGGCGCTACTGTTGTACGTTCCTTGGTTTGTTGACGTCGGGCCATCAACATGAATCACATTCACATTGGAGAATCGTCAACCAAACATTCCATCAGTAAAACCGCCGTGCCCCCATCATCAGCAGCCGCCACCGTCGCAGCAGCAGCGATCTCACCGACCCCCGCGCGGAAATCGACTGAAACTATTCCGTTCTTGGTTCTTCATTCGCACCCCGGTGCCATCTCCCCCGACCGCTGCCATCTCGTCGCTTCCTACGGCAGTCTGGCCGTAAAAGCGCCCCAGCCATATCACCAAAACATCACAACCACCATCAGCAGCAGCCGCAGCAGCAACAACTCCCCAAGCTACAAACAGTCAGCTCACCTTCCAACCAGACCAGGGTACCGCCTCAGCATGTCCTCGAACGCCAGGAGCTTAAGCCACACACCCTTGATCTTCTCTACCCTCTCCATCCCCGCCACCAAGACGCGATCACCGTGTAGACCGGTCAGGCGGGCCACTTCCTCCTTCGAACCCTCTTCTCGAAGCGAGGCCCTGACGGCGTCCGGGTCTACTCCGGCGTGTCTAGCCGTGAGGATTGTCGGCTTTGCTCCATGTACGATCTGGATCAGTCCCGTCTGTTGTAGTGAGTAGCGGGAGGGACAGGAAGAGGGACAGGAAGAGGGACAGGAAGAGGGACAGGAAGAGGGACAGGAAGAGGGACAGGAAGAGGGACAGGAAGAGGGACAGGAAGAGGGACAGGAAGAGGGACAGGAAGAGGGACAGGAAGAGGGACAGGAAGAGGGACAGGAAGAGGGACAGGAAGAGGGACAGGAAGAGGGAGAGGGGGGGGGAGAGAGAGGAACGAAGTTGGCGTGAGATCAAGAGAAGCCGCTCAACCCAAACCTTACGTAAAAAAAAAACTTTTTGCACAAGAATAAATGAACAGACCTTGGCGTGACGACATGCAGGCACAAGCCGGCGGGAGCAGCTGGGGTGGTCGACACCTGATGGTGGGCTAAACAAGCTGCATTACTTGCATTGCACTACCCCGTATCCGCCTTCCCGCGACCCTCAAGCGACGCTCTTAAGTCATGTATTTTCTTCCCTAGAGGTACTGTAGAGGGTCAACCGCTTCTGTCTATCCAACGAGATGTTCGAAACGGGGTGCTATGATACCACAGACCGTCGGAACAACTCGTGCAAGGAATACTACCCTGGGGCTATATTACCCGTTCTCCCAATGAAAAGTGCTCCGTCCCGGCGTTGTAGGGATGCGATGTCGATGGTCTAACGATTTGCTATTCGGCAGGGACGGCGATGTGTACACCCCCCGTCTAAAACAAAAAAGCGGAGCCCATGCCAGCGGTCGGTGTTATCTCTATGGGCCTACCTACCTACATACCTACAGTGCGTACATAGTAGTGATCAGTGCACGCCATTGTGGGGCCGCACCTCTTGACTGTGAAGGTGAGTGAGGCCCAGCAGTCGGCGGCAGGATGTCATGAAGTGCTGGCTGTCTGAGAGCCGGTGGAACCCAACCTGGCCAAGAAGAGAGGAGGGCTGATCAGCAACGGTCTGACTGACGCAACAAAACTCATTCTATGCCAAAGCAAAGCTACTTGTTGATGAAACACACCTGATCCTCAAGGCCTGACTAACCGATCCAAATCCATTAATGCTACTTGTTGATGAACACATCTGACCAGCACGTTGACAGACGTAACAAAACCCATGTACGCTACGGCTACTCGTTGGTGAACACGCCCGATCAGCAAGGCTTGACTGTCGCAACCACACCCATGTATGCTATGGTGGCGTGGCGTGTCCGGTGAGCACACCTGGTCAGCACCGAGCATCCCGCGAAGGAGATCTTCTCTGTGGGGCAGAGCGCGAAACACCTCGCCGGGGGGGAAAGGGGTGTGCAGGAACAGTCCGATGCGAGCAACCTGTGGAGCCCCCGGGCCCAACGGAAGCACACAATCAGCATCTCTCATGGTCCGAAATTGTTGCATGGGAAAGCTCAGTTTCTGTTGTCCCTCGTTCAAATGAAAAACTAACACACCCATACATGCTTCTGTAGCATATTTTGCGTGCCCCCCTGTAACCGAGAAGGCACAGGCCGTATATCGAGTAGCACATTGCAAGCCACCGCGGTACTCCCAAGGCTTGGTGAGGAAAGACACACACATGCAACGGTGAGTCCTGTATGCACACCAAGTTTATTGGTGACGTCACCCATCGCAAGCCGATGGATTGACGACTAAAATGATCACTGCTTTCTAACCTAATCTTATCTACCACGCACTGTTATCTTATCGTATCTGTGGAAGAGATGGATTTTGGTGTGTAACCTACATGAAGGAAAAAAAGCGAATGCAAGGGCGTATCCTTTGGTACCGTTATCCTTGTTGGTGACGTCACCTTGACAGTCCTGTCCAGGAATGCCGGTAGGATGGCCAGGTGGAAGCCGTGAATCCAGATCATGTCCCCCTCGTGGAATACCTCCACAACCTGATTGATATAATGATTGCATGCACATTATTATAGTTCTTGGGGAAAGCACGGAACAACCACCAGCAGGGTGAACAGCTAGATAGACCATGCCAAGCACACCTACGTGCACGTCACGATCTTGCGCTTCCCAGCTCTATTGATGATTGCCTTCTTTTCAACCCCAAAACGTTCGAAGCCGCTTCTGTATTTCGATTGTCGGAAGAACATGGTTAAGCCACCAACCTAGGACATCATACACGTGGCCACTAGATGTATGGACTACGGCGAGTTACGATAGCCCAATGCCCCTGAGCGAACGCATGCTTCTATATCAACATGTTTTCTATCCCCAAAAGGCTGAAAAAAATCGCCCTCTTGGCAAATATCGCAAGAAAAAGTCGCCAACCAATCAAACTGTGGCGTGCACGGGCCATTCGTGCACACTGGACGAAAAGAAAACGGCATAGCGTACCATCCATCACGTGTGGAGTGCTGGTTGTAAGGTGAAAGTATCGTACTTTAACACAGTGGACGTCCTTGCTTGGTGCCGGCCGAATAGTGCCGGTAAAAAATGTGGGCAGGAGTGTCCACTCCGTGCTAAAACCTACGATACCACTCCGTTCGGAAATATAAAGACCATTCGGGGACTGATTTGATTATGCCAATGGCCCCTATATTTCAGAATGGAGTGGTATACATCACTGTCCCTGAGTAGCGCCAGTGTCCTGCAGAGTGTCGGTGAATTTTCTGGGCACATACTCTGTTCCGGCACGAAACAGGGCCTATGGAAGCCGAAATCAAACCATTACACTAGTCAGCGGCTGACTAGTTCTAATGCTTTGATTTCGGCTTCTGAACAAGTTAGTCGTGGGGTCGTGAGCCCCGTCACTTTCACTTCCGAGGAGACTCGTCCAATGGATTGATTTCGGCTTCTCTATGCCTCTACTCTACTATATACTGACCCTGTCCCTGAAGGCGCACTCTGTTCGGAAATAAAAGGACCATTTGGATACTGATGTGACTATCCTAATGGTCCCAATATTTCAGAATAGAACGGAAGAAAACTCTGTCCTGAATAGTGCTGGTGTCCGGCATAGTGTCGGTGAATTTTCTGGGCACATACTCTGTTCCGGCACAAAACATGAACCTCTACTCTGCTGTATACTGACCTTGTCCCTAAAGGCGCGGTTGACCTGCTTGTAAGCTTGCCATCCTTGGGTGATCGCCGCGTCGTCTAAGAGGGAGTTCGGGAGGTCGTCGTACATCTCCAGCATGCCGTGCATCACCTACAGTACGGCACAGTACGTGTGGGTGAGAGGTACGCAGGACCGATCAACGTTGCTATATTAGCAACATGTGGCAACAGCAGCATGCCTATGAATGTCGTGCTTGACACAAGATGCCCTTCGTCGGCTCAAGAGGGAGTTCGAAAGGTCGTCGTACATCTCCAGCATGCCGTGCATCACCTACACCATGTACAAGCAAGTGATGGGTGACACACCAGAACCAACGTTGTTGGCAACGTCCGGCAAGCGATACCAATGAACGCCATGCCGTTAGTACAACACATGATGCGACCAAGGGAAATTATTGGGCAAGGACTCTTGACACACGTCGCGCCTACAGGAAATCTCCAGTGCCGCGTACGTGCATCACCTGCCCGGACGGGTGGCGAACAAAAACATTCAACACCGTCGAGTGTCGAGTGTCGGAACGTGGAATCTACAAGGGATGAACCATGACGGAAAGTTACACACACACCAAACAAGGAATACATCAGTTTTCCTCTGCTGCCCGTCGACCACCCGTACTTCATAAACACGCGGAGGGGGGACCACAGACAGGGAACCAGAGGGTAGGAGGTCTTACCGGCCACAGGACTCCTTTGCAGTAGCTGTAGTAGCACTGATGTGTGATCGACTTGGTCAGGAAAACCGGGACGCAATTGAGCTTCAGAAGGGCCTTCACCACCGCAGCCTGAAAGATAACCATACCATAACCGCACAAGAGCAGTGCCGTGGGATGGGAATGAGGCAAGGATTGAAGAGTATGCATGGCTCAGATAACCAGAAGGGAGGGGGGTCTATCTACATGTCCATGAAATAGCAGCACCCATGGGTACGGGGCGAGGCTAGATTGGAGAATGACGCAGCCAACGTCAAACGTGGGGCGATGAAGATACATACCAGCGGCCTTCCTCAGCATGTACGCTTGGTTCACGGTTCATGGATCATGTGCGCCGACAAATCTCAATTCCAATGCAGCAGACGGACGGTGAAAGTAGTACTGAGAGGACGATGCCCGGGTGCACACCTACAAGTTTACAAACACTAGAACCAACTCTTTACCCGCTGTCACCAACAACCGCCTCAAACTCAACCGCAATGGCCGATAGCGAGTTGTGCGGCAGTCGCGCGAACGAAGTAGTAGCAGCAACGGCAAAGTCGCAGTAGCAACAACGACTACGACAACCAACAACAGCAAACGGCAGCAGAAGCATCAACGACGCAGATGTGGCACCTAACCTTGTCCTCCTCCTCGATGTTCTCATCGCACTTGACCGTTCCGACGCGGACGACGCGAAGGTTGGTCTGACCATAGCACACCAGCAACCATCGTCCATCATGACAAGTGTCAAGATGGAAACGAGGAACATGCAAGGTAGCAGCAGCGTTAGCCGGAGGCACGAGACCTGATATCGGCAGGATCGGGCGCGCTGCAAGCTCGGAATGCAACACAGCAGGAGACATGTGGTTCGACCTGTTCTCGATAGGTCGTTGCTTCGTGTTTTGGTTGTCGGTTTGGGTTGTATATATACTGAAGTTAAAGTGGAAGAAAAGCTAGTTTCAGACGGGGAGCACGGCAAGTGGCGGATATGCATCACCGCCGATGGCCCGGCCGCGTTGCCATCCTTCAAGAAGCTGGAGATTGGAGTGGCGGATGCCAGCAAGACGAAGGGTGGCCATGCCTTTAGCCCGTTTCAGAACATAGCTGACGGCACACCAGACTCCATGCGGTTCGACTGCCCCTAGGGGTCCTACTACCTGATGGACGCCGTCTCACAGACGCGGTTTGAAAGACGGCGTCCATCAGGTAGTAGGACCCCTAGGGGCAGTCGAACCGCATGGAGTCTGGTGTGCCGTCAGCTATGTTCTGAAACGGGCTAAAGGCATGGCCACCCTTCGTCTTGCTGGCATCCGCCACTCCAATCTCCAGCTGCTTGAAGGATGGCGACGCGGCCGGGCCATCGGCGGTGCGGTACATCACCCGACAAAGCCCAACCACACAGAAAAGTACGACTAGGCGCTGCTACTGAATTAGACTTCAAGGCTAGGGTGTTTGCCACGACCTGATGAATACATACGCACGTCGTCAAGTGATCAAAGACGGCACCCGTTGAGGTGTTAGCAGGACGCGATCGCTAAGATCGCGCCCACCACAGACTAGTGTCGGCCTTTCCAATGAAAGGCTGGCCCATTTGCATGGAGGATATCGCAATCCAATCATCCGCGTAGACCTCTCATCGTAGATGGGCCATGACGCCCCGGCTTGCACAGATTCCTCCTCCTCGTCCTCATGGTCGTCGGCGATGCTCTTGAGTACTGCCCATGTCGTGCTGCTGCTCTCCCTCCCACCCTTACCCTTTCTCCCCTTCGTGAACGAGCTTCGATTCTTCACGTTGCGGGTGGTGTTCATCTCCCGCGCGATGTTGGGGATTTTATTTGCTCGACCTACCCCGGAACCCCCCCCCCACATGCTGGACGACATCCAATGAGAATCTCAAGGCCTCTGGTCTTTATTTTGAGTTGCAGTCGTGGCTCCGATACAGGCGGGTGTTGCGACACGGGCCCTCGACCCTCTTATACCGGAAAAAGAGAGCACTCATAGAGGGTCGAGTCCGTGACCACCGATTTCGACCCTCTTGTATCGGAGCCACGAGTGCTGTACTTAATGCGTATGTCATTTATCAACAACGGTCTGCTGTCTACAATCTGCAATCCGCATCGAACCGTGCAATGCGGGCAACGGGCGACCCCAGCGCACGACCGAGAGATACAGAGCGTCAGAGGGAGCTGGACAAGGATGGGCAGCCCATCCTTGGGATCCCTGACCAGAGGGTGCACTGCCAGCCCTTGTCACGCTGCATTTTCGGGAGTTTGCTGTACTAATTGACGCCCCATTATTAACGCATTCGACTAAAAACCCTCGGAGTGCGGCAAAGTGAGCATGGGAGTTGATGTGTGTTGTGTTTTCTTCCTATTTATTATGGCGACAACAGTCCCCCCATTTTTCGTGGTGAGACGTGTACTACACTTTTCAGTGTATTTTTTCGTTCAACTACAACCATCCAGGGTCACACAGGAGGGGGTAAACACCAGGGCTTTTTTCTTCTTTCCATTTCTTTTAATGCCCCACCTTCCTCCTGGGGTGCGTGCTGAATTTTATTTTTATCGCGAGAAGGGTCCAGCCGTCCCTTTCCCTCGTCAACGGTGCTAACGTCGAAGTTTGGTACTCACGAAAGCTTGTCAAGCTATACTTCGCTTTCACCCGCACATTTCGTAAATTTTTCACCCCATGGGGATTCGAGCTCACGACCTCTGCGACTGGCGGATAACGAGAATACCACTAGACCACCGGGGCGACCGGTGATGGCCTGTGGGGGTATAGGTGGGGAGGTTTGTGTGTTGGTTCGGTGTGGCACCGACGAGATCTACGAATGAAGACATTGAGGAGAGATGAGTTTCTCGATTACAGACAGAAGCTGTAGTATCACATTGCAAGAACTTCGAACTCACGAAACTCTGTGGTTGCAATCTCGAGAACATTGAGAAAAACATCTTGGTTCTGCAGAAGAAACCGGAGATCACCACGTCTAAAACTAAGTGAAAAACGGAAATGCCGCCTATTTGGGGCTAATTTTCCGAGGCCCAGAACCTTGGGTCAAAATCGAATTGGGTCTGAGAATTCCGCCGGCTTCAGAACAAGGATTATTCGGATTCAAACGTGAGATTGGTCCCTACATTTCCGAACAGAGTATGTACTACAAAGCGGGGGAGACGAGCCCTTTGGAATTGGCACCCGGGTTGTGCGCTTACAAAGAGAAAAAAGAAGAGGAAAAAATGACAAGTCGAGAAACTTTAAAGTCCTGCCCCACGATGCAGCAGGTAGGAAAATGGACAGCAGTGTGTCTGAATGTCTGTCTCTCGTCGGTCTTCTCTTCCTGTATCTGTCTGCTGTCTATCTGTCCGTCTGTCTATCTGTCTGTTTTTGCGTCTCTGTGCCTCCCTCTCATTTTCTCTCTGCCAGTCAGCCAGTCTGTCTCTGAGTCCCTGCCTCTCCCTGTCCGCTTGCCTGTCCCTCCCTCCCTCCCTCCCTCCCTCTCTCCCTCCCTCTCTCCCTCCTCTCCTCTCCCTGCCTCTCGCTCTCTCTATTTTGTCTCACCTGCATAGCGATGAGCTGTTCGTGATCCCACTCCGCGACCCAACCATCACAGTCAGCCCCGCCACCGCCGACTCCGTCAGCATTAGCCTCGGCGACACCCGCCGTCTCGCCAGAGGTATCGGAAGCAGTGCGCCTAGTGAGCGTGACCGGAAGGTAGAAAGACGCTACCACCACACCGCCATCCCTGCAAAACACAAACAGTACACAGCACCGTTTCAATGGAGTAGCACACAAAACGGGACACGACAACAAAACACGGCGCTTGTGCTGAAAGTAGCCAAAACACAATCGTGGGGTGCACAGCGACACAACGAACTGCTGCATGAAATAGTTCTCGTTCACGCAGCACCGCTTTTCCTACAGTGAAGGCAAGCACTGTACAACAACACGTACAACCAACTTAGGGTGTGTGACCACCGGTTGGAGTAAACGGCACAAGTGCAATGAGCGTTGATTCGAAGTGAACACAAGAATAAAAAAAAAAAAACTCGTGTCTCAAAGGCGCATGCGTACTTGGGGCTCCAAAGAGTGGGACAGGCCTTGGCTTTCGCCTTCTCAGCCGCGGCCCTCATAGGCGGCGGAGAGCTCAGGGTCTCCATACCCAGCCTCAGGCCCAGGCCCAGCCCCGCCTCCTCCCCATCCACCGCCTCCAGAGAAGGGGGGCGCCGCAGCCTGCCCAGCACCTCGCCTATGCCCCCCTCCCGCTGCTGCTGGTGCAGCTGTCGCCGGGAGAGCTCCTGCGCCGCGAACTGCAGCGAAGCAACTCCGTCTTCGCTCTCGTTGTCCTCTCCGCCACCAGGGGACAGCGGGACGCATCCCCCCTCCTGCAGAAACGTCGCCGCCGCCGCCGCCGCCGCCACCGTCTTGGACTTGATGAAGGCGGGCGTCTGCAGCCAAGTTTTCTCCTGCTCCTCTTCCGGGCCTGGGGGCCCAGGGGAAGCGATGTCCGGAGACAATCGGTCGTGCCGCCCGCTCTCGCTCTCGTTGTCCTTCGGGTCTTCGTCGAGGGTGTCCCTGGCGATTTGGGGAGTCTTGGAAGAGCGGATGACCCTAGGCTGCTCCACGGCGTCCCATCGGTGGAACCTAACGAAAGGAACGAAGAATACACGAACGAACAGTCGTGTACAGTGCTGGTATGTGCCCAGAATTTCAATGGCATTGCTGTACCGGACCGGCACAATTCAAAGTATTGCGAACGGCTTGGAATTCAACGCTGTGTGCCCGCCGAAAACACCGGCAATGGCAATGGCAATGGCAATGGCACCACATAAACAGGAACCTCTCCTGTAAGACGAACCGGTAGGTATTCCAACATTTACATACAGCCTACATATAGCCGAGTGGGTAACCTCGCAGCCTGCTAACGGCCAGGTCATGGGTTCGAGACCCGGCAGAGTGAGTTTTTTTCTCACTAAATAAACCTGGTCTAGGATGAAAGCGATGCGTTGCAAAGCTCGTTATTAGTAAACTATAATCGACTTCGTAAGCCGCGAGGGAAGGGATTGCTGCACCCTTCTCGCGATTAAAATACCTCAGGCAGGAACCGCAGGAGGGGGTCCAACCCCCCCCTGCTGTGTGACCCCGGTTGGGTCGTCTAGCTAGTTGAAGTGGAGGATAGGGGCCAGAGGGGCAGACGATAGAGTACAATGATGGAAAAAAAAAAAAATACACACCACCGGTCGCCCCGGTGGTTTAGTGGGTATCCTCGCAGCCTGCTAAGGGCGAGGTCATGGGTTCGGAACCCCACAGAGAGAGTTTTTTCTCGCTAATTAGATCCTGGTCTCCGTTGGAAGCGACGCGCTGCAAAGCTTGTTATTAGTAAACTCGATCGACTTCATAAGTCGCGAGGGAAGGGATGACTGTGCCCTTCTCGCGATAAGAATATCTCAGGCACGAACCGCAGGAGGGGGTCCAACCCCCCCCCCCCCCCCCCCCCCCCCCCCCCCCCCCCCCCCCCCCCCCCCCCCC